GTTGATTATAAATGTTGGTGACATTTCTCCATAGTTCGTGTAAACGTTTTACTCAACAGTTAAGAATGATCTCCCCCCCCCCCCTAAATAAAGAAAACAAAAGGTTGCACCCACCACAGGAAAATCGTGTCAGGTTCGTCGTCTCGCTCATTGACGTCTACTCGCGCTGTTGCACCCTTCTAGAAAAAGTCCACGGAGTCGGTCGGAGTGACAGTTGGCCCCAGCAACTGAAGGTGGATCAGCTTCCCCTTGGAGCATTTCCCCTTCGACTAGTTTTGTTTTTACTAAGGACGAGAGCTTGAAACAAAATATTAATAAAACGCTGCTGTTTGAATCGATAGCGTTTAACAGACGGTCGCTGTTTGGGGCGTTACGTTACAAAATACTACGCAGACAGCACTAGCTGGGAGATCGATCACTTTTATTTGCTAAAATATGCGGTACTATTAAATCCACGTAAATTAATCATGAGTATTTTCTGCTGTTTTATACTATATTTTAGTTTGTTTGTCTGAACACCTTATTTCTCTTGTGCATTAAGAACATTTGTGTAAGGGCATGATTTAACAATAAAAAGGTTATATAAACAGTATAAAATACCACATACTGTGTCCACCCTCCCATGCCACCCTGGCATGACCTCTTGCCCCTCCTTTGCCACCCCATGTAAAATGTTCTAGAACCGCCACCGATATACGCATAATCAAAATGTCATTAAAGTAAAGTAGAAACAAGTAAATTAGAAATTAAAGAAGAAAAAAGTACACATTTCTTTACATGAAAAATGATAAACCATCATATTTCATAAATGTTTGCAAAAATATTTGTGTGGTATAGTAATAATATACACCACATAAAAAGAGATACTGAAGTAAAGTGTAAATAAGTACAATACTAGAGTAAATGTACTTAGTTACATTCACCATTGGTCTACATTTCACAGTATATGCAGTGATGTGTGAGGATTGAACGTGGATTCATTTTTGAATAGTCCATTTTGTTAACAAAGTTGTGCTCAATTGCTTTCAAAGGTACAAAAAAAGACTCAATTAAGACGGAAGACAGCTTCCTTAAGTTCATAAACTCATCGCACTGAAACCCTCACATTTGATGGGTCTCAGATATGGTGAAGATGGAGTAGAGATCATCAGATGAATATGCGCTGCATTGTGTCACTACAAAAAAAGTGTGAAAGAAAGGAAGAAAACAGACCACCTCCCTGAAGAATGATCCTCCTCCTCCTCTTGGATCAAGAACTTAGGGAATGTTAGATCTACCGGTAATTGTTCCCAAAATAAAAAAGGGGTACAATTGTTTTGGGGTGCCGTATGCATTTTCACGCACGTAGTTCCCTTTTGTCTAGAGACGCTAGGAACTTTGTGGCTGCTGCCACCTCTGTATTATTTTAACTGAAGTTATTTTCTTTTTGTAATATACAAGTTGGGTGTTTTAGTTTTTTTAGGGAATACATTTGACCGGTTTCATTTTTTTCATTTGTTGACCACTTTTTCCCATCCTTACTGACATTTTGAGAAACTTCTGGTATTGTGATCAGGTGAAAATTAACTGCTGCCTATTTGACACGTTGTGCTTCTTGGTGAACTGAGCTGTTCTCACCACTAGAGGTCAGCAGTGGGTAACTCTTCATGACAAAGAGACACCCCTTTAGAGAACAGCAGCGCTGCTCACTCCAGGGAGTTCATTCAAGGTTTTTTTCAAAAGGTTATGAGCATATCACAATGTGCGCTCATGCTGCAGTTTATAACAGTAGTACATGTTGCCATGGAGGGATAAGAGTCCACATTTCCTGACAAGAGCCAAATTGCCCAAGATTTTACAAAAACTAATAAATACAATCTCTTGCGGAACAAAAAGCATGTTAAGTGAGCTCCTGAGAACACTTTGCATCTGTTTTGATGGAAACTGAAGGGGAACCCTAATCTGTCCATATACCCAAATGTGTTCATATCTCTGGAACAGGCCCTGTGTTCAGGCTGGTAGCTGCACTCCTCCAGCTTCACTGTGTGTAATTGTAACGTCTTGCTGCCAGACATTTTGGCAACCCTGCAAAGCCTGTCTCATGACTCTAACTCCCTAAATGCGGCCCCCACCCTGACCATATCACAACATGCACATCTGGCCCCACACCGCACAGGGCTCTCTCACATGGGGAAGATAGATAAGAGGTCACTGAGTTCTGCACTGTAAAGTTTTACTAAATAGAGGTGATAAGAGAGGAAAACAAAAAGGCCCTGCTTAAAGAATGCTCTGCTTTCTGTCTGGATCATTGAAAAATATGCATTTTTTTATAGAATTTTATAAAAAGTTGTCTAAAGTTGGTCTTCTTTAATAATTGACTGTGTCCAAGGCTATCAGCAATGATTAACCCTTAATCTAAACGTGTTTGCTTCCCAACAATATAGAGTAGGTGTTAGCACATAGCTGCTTTAGTATATATACCCACCGAGGCAGACCCATAGAACAGGAACACAAACATTCATTTCGAGAATGACAGTGTGGACCTTTTTCGGCGTTTGTGTTCCTGTTTCCTGTTGGATGTCAGGACAACAAAAGCTCAGAGTTGCTTGTGAGTTTCTTGGAAGAAAGTCATTTATTTCAGTTTGGTTAGTTGTACTGACTTAATAAGAATATCTCTGTCTCAAAAGGAGGGCTATGGTGGCCCATTGGTGCAAACGCGCTACAGCGGCCCAAAAAATATCCAATGTGCTGCACTTTCAAAAACGATGTAAATACATAAACACAAATGGAACGCTTGTTGACGTTTGGGGATTGGCTAAAAGTCACTCTCGCAGAGTAAGTCTGTTTCATAATTGTAAGTGTTTTGTCAGTATATATGAAATGACTAGGTTAGCTACATTAGCTCGTTGGTTACAGCAGATCGTGATTGTCTTGCAGAATTTATTTATTTGCAGTATTTTGTATTCACAGCTTTTGGTTTATGCAGCAGTAAGGGTTGCAATGCTGTTGTCAAGTCGGTTTCGGAACATTTGTGTTATATTTGCAGCGTTTTGAAACTGCAGCCGTTTCTCCTAATGGAAATGTTTTGTTCTGTTCTATGATGTTTGCACCCCGCCACATTTAAAAAATAAATAAATGATTATTATTTAGTATTAGAAATGTAGGTGTGCCAATTGAACACTCTCTAATTCTTTCCAGGAATCCACATTTACATCCAGAGCAAATGTTCCTTCTTTTGGAAATGATCCAAACCTGGACCTGTACGTTGCTGTGACTAACCAAGAAAGAAACACAAACTAGAAGATACAATCACAGTTTGATTTAATAAAGACTAAAAAAAGTAAACCTCAAGAAATTGCACCCTTTTTAAAAAAAAATGTATTTAAAAAAAAAAAAAACAGGTTTCTCCCGCCCCTGTTGCACTTTGTAACATTAGAATCCAGTATCATATGACTGGATCACTTTATCTGAATATGTTGAGAATTGAGATTCAATATTACACGAAGATACACACATTCCCTGATTTGCTGATGTCTTTGGTTTCTTTTCTTAATTTAAGGGTGTGATGATTGGGTTAGAGGTAGGGCTGCTCAATTAATCGTATTTTAATCGCAATTACGATTTTGGCTTGCAACGATTAGGAAAACAACGTAATCGAAATAAAAACGATTATTTTTATATTATTATTATTATTTTGTATTGGTTTTTCAGTTTAATTATACTTAAAGTTCAGGGTAATCAACTGTTAAAGACATAGGCTACTGTTCAATTTTTCTTCAATAAAAGGATGTTTTCAAAGTAAATGGATAATCATTTTTAATAATCGTGATATCAATTATTGACCCAAATAATCGAGATTATGATTATTGCCATAATCGAGCTGTGGACTTTAAATCTAAAGGAACTTTTCCCTTCATTTCCTCAGAGAAGGTGTGGCGGCTGAACAAGCAGTAAACCCAAAGGAGTCCTCGGCAACCGTCCCATAAAATCCAAACTGAATGAAAATGCCACGGTCATTCCTCTTTGTGTTGTGGTGGAGACGTCCTCAGAAATGCACAATGCTAAACCCAAACTGCTGGTTCACATTCAAAGAAAAGGCACTCACAGTGTTCTTATTGTGGCAGTGTAAAAAGAAGAAAGTACACTTGTGTGCTTAAAAAAAAGGTAATAACAAATAAATGAAGTCCCTTAAAGTAAATACACCTACAGGTTCAAATATTAGAGCTCTATTCTCTCAGTGTATCCTTCCACAGTAAACCCCACACACAGACCCGGAGGGAGAACATCATCTGAGTTAATGTCAGAATAGACGTCGTTGGCCACTGCCAGCAGAGCTCTGACGTCTATTTAGAGCAGGATATTTTAAGCGAGTGGCCCACTCAATTGCAGTCCTGTCCCTGGTCCCTGCGCTGCATCACACAGTGACAGACACCACTGTAACTCAGCCAGAGACTGATTGTATGATACGTTTTAAACTCAGCAAAAAAAAAAGTGTAATAACTACGTTGGTCCACAACTTGGGACGTAGTATTTCTACAAAAACGCCTCTGAAATTGTAAGATCCCTAAAAAAAATGTCACCATTCATTCCAATGGCTGGCGTCTATGTCACGTGATCTTCAACTTTCTCCCTGCAGAAAAAAAAAACATCGCAGACCTTCGTTTTATTCTCGGTGTAAAATGCCTATTTTAAGGTTAGTTTGGCCATTAAAATGCGTTTTGATGTCATTTGATGCGAGAAATATGAGTTGTTATTTCAGATGATGTGTGCAGTGGATGTACATGATCTTTAGTTTGCTAGTTATTACGAAGATTACTTCAGGAAATTGTGTCTATACAACGTTTTCATTGTTACCAAGGTGGTTGCTATAGGGACGCTGCTATCGATATTATTTCTGTTATGTTGTGTAACTGTTTAATGGTGTTATCTTTATTGCTACCCCCTTCCCCGTCAATTTATAGTGTTGGTCCACAGTGGACTAACAACATTGCTCAAAATCAGTTTAACCAAATGTAGACTCATTTTAACCCTGATGTCTGGACCTGTTTTAATGAGCAAATCACCAAAAATGTCCTGTGCATTTTTGGGAGAGGAAAAAATGATTATAAATAAAAAATATATATCTAAAATTCCCCATGCTGAATCATCACAGCATTTGACTTAAAAATAAAACGTGTTTCCACTTCTTTCTTTCAGCTCAGTACAGAGAGTCTTGAATAAGTCATTTAGAGCCCAGGTAGGTGGGACTTCCTGTTTCCCAAAGCTGCAGACAGGAAGACGTGATGTCAAGTCGTCCTGAATCCACTAACGCATGTAGAGTTTTATGAGGCCCGCCTGGTGCAGCTGTTGCCATAGGGACAGTTCCATACGGAGGTCGTGGTTTGCGTAGAAGCCCACCGAGTGGTAGACGCTGTCGTAGTAGTGGTCCGAGTACTTCTTAAAGTCCGGGGTCATGAAACCGTAGGCACTCACCTTCATCAACAAAAGAGACACAAAAAACAGTCAGGACAACAATTCTGCCATCTTATCTTCTAGAAATCTAAACAGAGATGTATTCTGATTAAATGTATCTCATGATTCAAGCATGACTCACTGTCATCCCTATCAACTAAACTAAAGACAGCTTGAAAAACAGGTTTGACAGAGATTATTAAGGACACTTTTTCATGATGGCACTGAACTGTGGTCTAACTGTGAGTCAATAGCAGCATATAACTAGAGAATGCAATTCCTGAAGAAATTGCTAGCGGGAATGCTTTATGCTGAAAAGCTGACGCTAAACTGCTATGCTGAAATGTAATATGTAAGAAGAAAGTGAAGAATTTAGATTTAAATGATACATGAACACTGGGGGCTTGAATGTGTGATGAGCAGTGTTGGGACTAACGCGTTACAAACTAGCGCGTTACTATAACGCAACTACCTTTTGCGGTAACTAATAACGTTACTAGTTACCTATTCCCATTTAGTAACACCGTTATAGTTACTGTGATTTAAATGTGTGGGTTACTGCGTTACATTATGTGATCCAACTGAACCGAATCTCCCTGCGGATGTAATTAGGCGAATACAGTGATGTCCTCTCACAGTACCATGGAAAAGTGAAAGTGACCAGAGCGGAGTGATGATTGGTTAACGCGGGGTAACATTTCAGGGTAAGCCAATCAGAGACAGAGTTGGGCGGGTCTTGCCTTATGGGGAAAATACACAGACACACAATCACGATTGATGCCTGTCAAAATGTCTAAACATATCTTTTGTGTTTTATTGTTCCACTACATTTCATAATGATAATTGCTACAATGATGGGGAGTTGTCTTTTCTCTTACTGTGCCACAGAACAACACAAAAACTTGTATTTGTATTGTTATTATTTTTAAAGTAAAGTAACTTGTTACTAGTTACTGTTATAATTTAGTAACTAATAAAGTAACTAGTTACTTTTTTGAGAGCAGTAACTATAACTATTACTAGTTACTTTTTAAAAGTAACTTGCTCAACACTGGTGATGAGTGAAGAAAAGAAAGTAAAAAGGCTTTGAAAAGCAGCAGAATATTTGAACTGCAAACTTTTGAACTAACTTGATGGTGAATGATCTGTCGCCATGCCAATGGCATTTGATGACATCCCATAATATGCTTAGATGCGTTAATGGCTGCATCGGTACCAAATCTGTGAAGTTTTGGGCCGTTTGGAGCATTTTCACTGAAGTTATGAGAAAACCGTGTTTCATGGCGAGCATTGTGTTGTCATGGCAACAGCATTTGAAGAAATCTCAAAACTGTCCCGTAGATGTCTTCACGGCTGGACTGTTAGCACACGTGAAGTTTGAGCACTTCTTGAACATTTTCATAAGAGTTATAGAGACATCATCTTTTATTGCGAGGGATGCGTTTCCATGGAAACGGCATATGATGAAACCCCATAATTGACGTAGAGCTGTTGAGGGCTGGACCGGTGATATACAAGCAAAGTTTGGGGGGCGATCGGACCGTGTCCATTGGACTTACAGCGACATCGTGTTTCATGGCGAGTGGTCTGTCGCCATGGCAACGGCATTTGATGACACCCCATAATACGCTTAGATGCGTTGATGGCTGCATCGTTACCAAACCTGTGAAGTTTTGGGCCGTTTCGTGCATTTTCACTGAAGTTATGAGAAAATCGTGTTTCATGGCGAGCATTGTGTTGCCATGGCAATGGCATTTGAAGAAATCTAAAAACTGTCCCGTAGATGTCTTCACGGTTGGACTGTTAGCACACATTTTGAACATTTTCATAGGAGTTCATGTATAGCGACATCGTCTTTTATGACGAGGGATGCGTTTCCATGGAAACGGCATATGATGACACCCCATAATTGACGTAGAGCTGTTGAGGGCTGGACCATTAAGCATTATCTGAAGTCTGCTGCTCTGAGCATGTCAGTTGGAGTTATGACATCATCGTATTCCATGACCCAGGTGTTTATATTTGAGCTAACGACTGTCCAGAGATCAAAGGTTTCCATGGTGATGTGCAGTAATCAGTGAGAGGAGAGCATTTTCATTGTTCTGAATGAGAGATAAACCTCTTACATGTGAACGTTTTGTTGAAGAACCGTAACAGATATCTGTGAAATTTCAAAACGTGAAGCATGTCAAGGAAGTTGAGTATCTGAAGTGTAATTTTTGTGTACTTTCGGGTTAATAATGTGGCCTTTTTGGCAGATTAACTAAAGGTGTGCGGCTAATGCTGTGAGTAAAGATCAGCCTGAAATTACAATGGGCTTTAATGGAGACATGTTGAAAGTTTGTGTCACTTCATGCCCTCAAGAGGCATTTTGTTTAATTGTTTTGCTTTATTTTATTTTATTTTTCAAGCTACGAGATGTTTTGCTACGTTTGTCATGAAAAATTATCTCTCAGAAATGTAGGGTTTGGGAATTATGGCAGTTTTAAAAAAAAATATGAAGGCAAATTTGAAACTGTCCTCCGCTCTAACTCTGACATCACACACACGCCTTAACGAGCTGCGCAATGTTAAAGCTGAAGAAGGACTCTTTACCAAGGTCTGAACAATGTTTAATATTTCTAAAAGTATGAATCTAATTTAAAAGTTGTTTAATATGAATAATATCAGAAAGATGTGTAACATTTTAAAGTTGGAATGAGGTTTCTGAGTGAAAGTATGAAGGAACAGTTAGCAGTTGAAGTCGCATGAAGATTGTTCAAGTCTGAAGATTTTCACCATTGACTTCAATGTTAAAAATGTGATGTATTATGGGATATATCTCTGGAATTATGAAAGTTATGAATGAGAAAAGCAATAGCAATCGATTCCGACCGAGCTGAACGTTTTGATGTTCGAACAGAGTTTCTGCGATGTGGAATGTGGGAGAAGAAGACCGGCAAAATAACGGGGGGAATAAAATTAAAGAATTTCGTGCGTCGAATAACAGATAGTTGGAATGCTTTTATCAGCAAGCATATCTCAAATTAGAGATAACAGAATGTGCAAGGCCAACTGCCAAGAGTCCAAATATTCTCACCTGCAGCCTTGCCCTACAGTAAACACACAGCTGACTGACAGTGACTATTTCTTAAAGTAACACTGAATTCCACCTGGTCGCAGGTGTGCAGAGCAGCCAACAGCATCACAGCCCCCGTTGACGGACGGTAAATGTCCCTAAATTTGGTTTGCATGGTGTGAGATCGAAGGAACCTGAAACAAAGACAACAAGAAAAAAATGTAAAAGAAAAAGAGGAAGGTCTATTTATGTGTGAGCAACTTCCTCTTTTTCCCTTTGTGTGGGAAATGTTGTCAGAGGCTCACTCTGGTTTCAGCCCACCTAATTTAATCTAATTTCCAACTATTTGAAATGTGAGCCCTGCTTTCATTCTGCTCACCTGTTCCGTGAATAATTCGCTCACCTGTTTCTGAGGTAACGGACGAAATCAGGATGGTATATCTTCAGCTTTTTTGCTGACAAATCCTCTCCAAAGTAGTCGGATGGACTGTGGAATTAAATGTGAAATTAATAGGAAAAAAAGCTGAATCATAAAAACTGTCACTAGTTAAAAAGAGTAAAAGTTCATAAGAAGATCAAATAAATCTTTACCATGTGCAGACCAATTACAAATCGAATCTGAATGTAGTGTTTACTTCACATGCTAGGGTTAACATGATTAGCATGAGCTTTCTCTAGCTAGCCACAAGGCAACACTTGATAGGGTGTGAATATGTAAGCTGTAGAGATTAGGGCGTAGCACAGTGAGGTTTAAAATCTTATGTGGGTAAACAAACTGCACGAACCACCAGCTTATTGTCTAACACGGGGAGGCTGCTCTTTATGAAACAAGCGGCAAACTCAGAAACTGAACAGGGACGTTCTCACTTGCATTCTCTCAGTATACAGCAGGGCGTCCAGTTTTAGAGGAGTCTATGAGAAAATTACCCTACTTCTCATTTGTTTTATAACCTCAGTAATGTTCATTTAGTAAATAATGGTTCCATTTTAAGCAAAATAGACAAAGCAGCATATGATTTAGGGTGTGTGCACATTGTCATTGAGAACACGCAGCTCAATGCGTTATCCGGTTTCAGTTAAAGGACAGTTAAAGGAATAAAAAACAGTGACATACAAAGGACATTATTGTGAGTCAAACTGCATCCTCATTATGAGAGCCTGAGAGTGTTGCTTACTTTTTGTTCCGCTCAGGTCCTGTCTCTACTTTTGTGTGTGTAGCTGCAGCCTTCATCAGCAGGTAATCACGGCCGTGGTCGGGTAGAAAAACGTATCGGGTTTCCTGTTGGAGAAGAACAGAGTGTGAGGTGACTCAAGCCTGAATGTGGTATGTCGAAATTTTTGCAGTTTATGGAGGATTTCTTCTCACACTAGACTTAGGAGGGCCTCTATACCCAGCACCGGAGTAGGCCCTCATGGAGTTCATCATTGTGTTGGTGGAGAACGTGTAGTGGGTGGTCCGAGAGCCCACGTCCTGCTCAAAGCCCTTAGTGATGGCCCCATTGGTCCTGAAGAACACAAGCGTCCACAAATTCAATAAATAAAACTGTATTTGTTATAGGGGGCCCATCTGCATAGGCAGTCGAGTAACACAATATGTAAATGATCAAGGTAAAGGTATGGTATATATACATTTTAAATCAATAATAACAATAATTATTATTATTCATTAAGATAATAAAAGCAGTATTATTATTATTATTATTATTATTATTATTATTATTATAGCTGAGGCTCCTGGAAGACAATATTCAACAAGCTTGGCTAATCCCACAATTACATAATAAAATGCAGGTTACTAATTGTTTAGCATTGAAGCCTACAACGACAATGCAATTTAAATGCATTTATTATAAAAAGTGCGAACAAACAACCACGATCTAAATAGTCAACACAGAAAGTCACAGAAGATTTACTAAAGACTGTTGCGTAAGGGATAATGTGCAGCGACGCAGTCATTATGGGGAAAAGAACACCGACAGGCTGATCAGGAGCCCGACGCGAAGCGGAGGGATCTAGATCGGCTTTTTTATGGATTTAGAAAATGATTTTATTGATTTAAAAAATAGTTGTATTGATTTAAATTGACATGCATCCGCTAAGAAAAATAGTCCGTTGTTACCGTTTGAACTAACGTAGCAACGGCAGGAACTGCTTCGATAGCGTTTTTGAGGAGCTTTTTGATTATAGATTTGAAAACATCGCTGCTTGCTTTAAAAGTAGCACAATTCATTATGTCAGACCTTGGAAAATATCTAGATATCCCTGCCCTAATGCCAAAGTAACTGCACACTGAATATGTGTCGCCGTTTGATGTCTATGTCTGGACCGCTGCGTAAAAAGGAGGGTTTCTGCCCGTTACTTCTCCGCTGTTTTCTTGTCCCTCTTGTCTTTTTCTTTTCTTCACTGGGGACTCATCAGCCACTAACCATTCCTCCAAATTACTGTGCTCTCCAAATATATTAAAATGAATGTTAAAATCCTCCATGTTGCTCTCACACGACAGCGGAAAACTAAAGACAATCAGACAGGTTGCTTGCTTGCTTTTCAAACTGTTACATTTGAAAAACAGTTAGAGCGTCTCTTGTCAGTTTGAAAAGCCAACGGTAGGAACTGCTTGCGTTTTTGAGGAGCTTTTTGATTACAGATTTGAAAACATCGCTCCTTGCTTTAAAAGTAGCACAATTCATGATGTCAAACCTTGGGAAGTATCTAGATATCCCTGCCCTAATGACAAAGTAACTGGCAACTGAATATGTGTCGCCGTTTGATGTCTATGTCTGGACCGCTGCGTAAAAAGGAGGGTTTCTGCCCCGTTACTTCTGCGCTGTTTTTCATGTCCCAGTTCAGTTGGGCCGAAAAGCAAACTGCATGCAGTTTGCTTTTCGGCCCAACTGTATACAGTTAAATCGACCGAACTTCTTTCTGAAGATGTGAGCGTCCTTAACAACGGTCAATAAGTCCTTGACAGCGGTCTGTCTGATCGGTATTAACAACGTGTCACGTGTTCTGAATTAACCAATCAGAATCGAGTATTCAACTAAGCCATGTAATAATGTGAGATAAATGGATGGTAATTCAGAGACACCAGCTGTTGGTGTGCAAACATCCATAGAGACATCCTGAACCAACCCAGTCTCACGGCATTTCGTGTTCACCAACACGATTTTTAATCTATTGATTCGTGTTCCCCAACACGATTTGCCCCTTTTCTTCGTGTTGCACAGCACGATTTTAAAAGCAATGTATTTATATTGCCTACAGCACGTCTTTTTCTCCGGTCGGGTCGAGGAAGACCTGAAGCTGTGTGGTTCATAAAAACATGTTCTTACTCAATATCAAGCCACAATTATTGCTTTTATTTTAAATCGTATAATTTCTGACTTTTGTTGCCGTCTGTGAGGAAAATAAATGGGGCTCAGAGCCTCAGGATACTGAAATCTGTATTTTTTAAATATGTTTTCCTTCTAATTTGTTATTCTTTTCAAAATAACACACTGTTATTTACTCACCAATAACACACAATTATCCTTGCTTTTATTTATTGGTTTAATTCCATAATCTCGGGCTTTTTTGGCGTCCGTCAGGAACTTAATTTCAAAATAAAATATCCGGAAACAGACGTAGGACATAAGGGAAATTTCGAGCGTCATTGCGATTGTCAACCTTTCTGAGTTTAGGATGGCCGAAGACACTACACTACCCATAATCCCCAGCTATCGTTTAGGACTACAGTCCCCGTAAGGTTACGCAGAGCGTCAAACAGCTGTGTGAAATGGAACGAAACCACGCCAGACTATCCAAAACTGGAATCGAACGCCCACCCCCAGAACTACACATGCTGGCTATTGTGTTTCGCAAAATGTTCTATGGGACGTCTCTACTGAACGTTTTCGTTTTTCCCACAATTAGAAGTTGCTAGTATTAAACACATTGGCGTTATCAAATGTAAAACTATTATATATAATTTATTATATTTAATAAATGGGTGAAAATCGCTATATATACCCACATGACAGCTCATTGTTACTTTGTAATTCTACTCCACTACAATTCAGAGGTTAACCTGGTATTTTTACTCCACTGCATTTATTTGAGTTACTTTGCAGATTCTGATTAATTATGTGAAATATAAACAACCCTTAAATCAGACTTTAGTTACACCTGAGTAAAATTCAGGTAAGGTGATTGTCAAGTGCCAACAATCAGGAGAGATATTTGATAGTTGGTGCTTGAGAAGACTAAACATGTATCTACAATTGACGAGTAATAAAGTATATTCATTACTCGTTATTCTCTACTAATAGTTAATTAAAGACTGTATATTATGGCTATTTTTCACATCCCTTTCAAGATTTTCAAAGGTTTATTGACATATCATATACACAACTACGGTGTAGTTATGCAATGAATGAAACACTTGGGTCACAGGTTCCTCAACAGTGCATTACAAGACATCTATCAATATGTGTGAACCTCCACCATTAAACTGTCATATTCTGCACATTTCTTATTCTATCTACATACATACGAGTATAATTCATATGTATAATATCAGTTAAAACAAGTGCTTCAACATAGTTAACATTGCAGGAAAGCAATATATTAGACGTTAAGTACTTTGTCAGGCTTAATATTTATCTGTAGATAGATACCCCCAACGTTTTTTTCTTATTTAAAAGAAGACCTTAATCTGTTATTTAATGTTTAAATAAAGGTTAATTCGTTTTTCTGTTTTGCACCTCCTCCTATTAATATCTCTGTACATTCTGCACTAAACTGTTTTATTGTAGAGATCACTTTATAGTATTCAGTATTCTGAGGCTCTGAGCCCCATTTATTTTCCTCACAGACGGCAACAAAAGTCCGAAATTATACGATTTAAAATAAAAGCAATAATTGTGGCTTGATATTGAGTAAGAACATGTTTTTATGAACCACACAGCTTCAGGTCTTCCTCGACCCGACCGGAGAAAAAGACGTGCTGCAAGCAGTAGAAATACATTGCTTTTAAAATCGTGCTGTGCAACACGAAAAAAAATCGTGATGTGCAACACGAAAAAAAGGGGCAAATCGTGTTGGGGAACACGAATCAATAGATTAAAAATCGTGTTGGTGAACACGAAATGCCGTGAGACTGGGTTGCCTGAACACACATCCTGAACACACATCCTGAACACACATCCTGCTCGCTGTAACCCGAGGCTCCGCATGTGACAGGACTTGAGAAATAAACTCTGAGCTATCTCACAGTTCAGATGCAGCTTGTGGGACTAAGACACGTTTCCTAACCAGAGCTGTGGTAGTAGCCTGTATATTAAACTATGAGTGTGGAGTCTGCACACTGTGGTGGAAACATTTCAATCTACATGAAATACCCTTTTGTTTCGTTTTTAACAGCTTTTTAAAGATGTTGCCTTTCACTTTCATTAGTTGTGATTTAGTCATGACCGAAAGAACGAGATTGCGGATACAAGCGGCCGAGATGGATTTTCTCCGCAGGGTGGCTGGTGTCTCCCTTAGGGATAAGGTGAGAAGTTCAGTCATCCGGGAGGGACTCGGAGTTGAACCGCTCCTCCTTCGCGTCGAAAGGAGCCAGTTGAGGTGGTTCGGGCACCTAGTTCCTCCTTGACCTGACTGCAGCCTTTGACACCATCTCACACCAAATCCTCCTTGACAGATTATCTTCCATTGGTATCACTGGCACATCCCACACCTGGTTTAGATCTTTCCTCTCCGGCCGTACTCACTTTGTCCAACTCAAACACTTCAAATCACGGTCCCATCCAGTCTTCACTGGTGTTCCTCAGGGTTCTGTCTTGGGCCCCCTCCTATTTATCATCTACCTCCTACCTCTCGGCCATATCTTCAGAAAATACGCAATCCAATTTCACTGCTACGCGGATGACACCCAGCTCTATTTTTCCACCAAACCCACTTCCACTCTCCCCCCCACTGCCCTTTCCGACTGCTTACTGGAAATCAAATCCTGGTTCTCATCCAACTTCTTAAAACTTAACAGTGATAAAACCGAGTTTCTCCTAGTTGGCTCCAAGTCCACTCTGGCTAAAACTGACAAATTCTTCCTCACTATTGACAATTCCACATTCTCACCCTCCCCCCAAGTTAAGAGTCTGGGTGTCATCCTTGACAGCACCTTATCATTTGAAGCTCACATCAACAACATCACTCGATCTGCCTACTTCCACCTCCGCAATATTAACCGCCTCCGCCCGTCACTCACACCCAACAGCACCGCCATCCTCGTCCACGCCCTCGTTACGTCCCGTATCGATTATTGCAACTCCATCCTCTCTGGTCTTCCTCAGAAATCCCTACGTAAGCTCCAACAGGTCCAAAACTCAGCCGCCCGTATCATCACCAGAACTCCTTTCATTAATCATATCACTCCGGTTCTCCAACAACTCCATTGGCTCCCCGTTAAGCACCGCATAGACTTCAAAGTGTTGCTCCTCACCTTCAAGGCCCTTCACACTCTTGCCCCTCCATATCTCTCTGAACTCCTTCACATCTACACTCCCTCTCGTACTCTCCGATCCTCCTCTGCCTTCCAACTCACTGTACCTTCTGCCCGCCTGATCACCATGGGGTCACGAGCCTTCAGCCACTCTGCCCCCCGTCTCTGGAACTCTCTCCCACAAGACATCCGCAATATGGACTCCCTCCCACCCTTCAAATCCAGCCTGAAAACACACCTTTTTAAACTGGCGTATTCTATTTCTTAATCTCTGCTAAACTGATTGTTGTTTTTAAGTCTCTGTTATTTAAGTATTTTTTTAAGTCTTGTATTACTGTGTGCTCTTCTTTGTTGATTGTTTTAAATTATGCTCTGTAAGGTGTCCTTGAGAGCTTTGAAAGGCGCCCATAAATAAAATGCATTATTATTATTATTAGTTAGGATGCCACCTGGGCGCCTCCCTAGGAAGGTGTTCCAGGCACGTCCAGCTGGGAAGAGACCGAGGGGTAGACCTAGGACCAGGTGGAGGGATTATATATCTTCGCTGGCCTGGGAGCGCCTTGAGATCCCCCAATCAGAGCTGGTTGATGTCGCCAGGGAAAGGAAAGTTTGGGGCTCTCTGCTGGAACTGCTACCCCCGCGACCCGACCACGGATAAGCGGGAGAAGATGGATGGCTGGATGGATAGTTGTGATTTAGGTTTACATAATGAATTTTCAAAGGTAATACACTTATATTTTTTTATTATAAATACTAGGCAACTGTGAGGTTCCTATTTAGGGTTTGGGGCATGAAAGCTAATGTTATAATTATTAAATTAAAGTTGCTATAAGAAGAAAAATATGCTTTTGATTTGGGCATGCTCTTAAAAAATATGTGTATGTATTTTTTTTCTCATCTTTTTGTACTTGAAGACTCGGATTTCACTCACTTTTTATATTTTAGGTTTAAGTGGTTTAAAACAGATACATTTTGGACTTTGTACTAAATCTAAGTTAATAAATGACACAAATTGTGTGCATTAAGATAAAATCATTGGTATATTCATAGGCTTAGGCGATATATAAAGATTTGAGTTTATTTAACAATAAAACACGGTAAAGTATAGCGACTAAATACACCGAACTGCAGATTAAATTAAAATTATTTTGATTAAAGTGGCCTTATCTAAAATGGATGGAAATCAATGGAATTGACTGTTGGGTAGAATTTAGCTCTAGTTAGGATACTCTCAATGTAGGACATGTACCTGAAGACATAGTGGTGACTGTCGATCTCCTTCCCTTTCTTTGAATCCTTCAGTATCCCACCATTCCCCACCACAGCACAGCGGATACACTCTGATTTATCTCCACGATCCTTCCAGTCATCCAACATCCGCCAGTTAGCAGAAGAGTTGAGCACGGACAGAGTATCCACCAATGCTGTGGAAAACAGAAAAATAGAGTTAATCTCGATAAGATTTATTAAACACAGTCTTTTTACATTACATTACATTACATTACATTGCATTTAGCTGACGCTTTTGTCCAAAGCGACTTACAATAAGTACATTCGACCAGGAAGACACAACCTTGAAGAAAACAGAATCATATAAGTACAGGTTTCATAGAGCCAAACATTTCAAGTGCTACTCAACTGGCTTTAGGTAAGCCAGTCCTTTATTAGTATATAAAGTGCTTCGTTAATAGTTCTAACGCTCGAAGTGGAGTCGAAAGAGATGAGTTTTCAGTTTGCGCCGGAAGATGTGCAAGCTATCTGCCGTCCTGATGTCAATGGGGAGCTCATTCCACCATCTTGGAGCCAGGACAGCAAACCCACGTGTTTTTGCCGATGGGAACTTGGGTCCCCCTCGCAGCGAGGGCGCAGCGAGTCGTTTGGCTGATGCAGAGCGTAGTACACGCGCTGGGGTGTACGGTTTAACCATGTCCTGGATGTACGAAGGGCCAGATCCATTCGCAGCATGGTACGCGAGTACCATTGTCTTGAAGTGGATTCTAGCAGTTACCGGAAGCCAGTGAAGGGAGCAGAGGAGCGGAGTGGTGTGGGAAAATTTAGGAAGGTTGAAGACCAGACGAGCCGCTGCATTCTGGATGAGCTGCAGAGGTCGGATGGCACATGCAGGTAGACCAGCCAGGAGGGAGTTGCAGTAGTCTAGGCGTGAGATGACGAGAGCCTGGACCAGAACCTGAGTTGCTTTCTGTGTCAGCTGGGGACGTATCTTCCTGATGTTGTAAAGCGTGTATCTGCAGCAACGGGTTTTAAAAGGTCATGTCAATTCTTGTAAAATACTGCACTTCATTCAAAATATTTATGTGGTAGATACAAAAAAGCAAGGGCCTCAAACTCTTAAGGGATTAGTATATTCATAAATACACTTTTAAAGAAATAGATACAAAAAAGGCAGGGAAATAAAAAATGTTATCATAAAGAGACCATATTATGCTTTTTGGGGTTTTCCCTTTCCTGTAGTGTGTCATATAGGTTTTAGTGCATGTAAATGGTCTGTAAAGCCTAACATCTTCATTCCCCCCATAGGTAGTGACAGCACTATGTTACATCTCAACCCAGTCTCACGGCATTTCGTGTTCACCAACAAGATTTTTAATCTATTGATTCGTGTTCACCAACACGATTTTCCCCTGTTTCTCGTGTTGCACAGAACGATTTTAAAAGCAATGTATTTCTACTGGTAATGTGTTTCGTGCCTGCAGCACGTCTTTTTCTCCGGTCGGGTCTTGGAAGACCGGAAGCTGTGTGGTTCATAAAAACATGTTCTTATTCAATATCAAGCCACAATTATTGCTTTTATTTTAAATCGTATAATTTCGGACTTTTGTTTCCGTCTGTGAGGAAAATAAATGGGGCTCAGAGCCTCAGGATACTGAAATCTGTATTTTTTAAATCTTTTTTTCCTTCTAAATTTGTTATTCTTTTCAAAATAACACACTGTTATTTACTCACCAATAACACACAATTAACCTTGCTTTTATTTATTGGTTTAATTCCATAATCTCGGGCTTTTTTGGCGTCCGTCAGGAACTGAATTTCAAAATAAAAATAACCGGAAACAGATGTAGGCCTCTAGGAGTTTAGGATGGCCGAAGACACTACACTACCCATAATCCCCAGCTATCATTTAGGACTACAGTCCCCGTGATTAATCTTCAAACTCTGGGATTGGATGTTGGAGTGGCAGTGCGCCAAGGTTACGCCGAGCGTCAGCTGTTTGAAATGGAACGAAACCACGCCAGACTATCCAAAACTGGAATCAAACGATTTATTGTCAAGTCAATAAAAATGGCACCTGTGAGTTCACCATCATCTGCAGCACAGTACAAGTCATTCGTAAATTTAAGTAGGGCAGTTGTTGTGGAGTGATTAGGCCTGAAACCAGATTGAACCGGAGATAAAATATTATAAATATTGAGATAATGTGACAGAAGCCCTGAAATGGCTATATACAGGACGGTCCTGTATATAAGGTCTCTGAAATGGCTATATACAGGACGGTCCTGTATTTAAGGTCTCTGAAATGGCTATATACAGGACGGTCCTGTACACAACGCCAAATGGCTATATACAGGACCGTCCTGTATATAGCCATTTCAGAGAGCTGTTTACAGGACGGTCCTGTATATAGCCATTTCGGAGCTTGTATACAGGACGGTCCTGTATATAGCCATTTCAGAGACCTTATATACAGGACCGTCCTGTATATAGCCATTTCAGAGACCTTATATACAGGACCGTCCTGTATATAGCCATTTCAGAGGGTTGTGTACAGGACGGTCCTGTATATAGTCATTTGGCGTTGTGTACAGGACGGTCCTGTATATAGCCACTCCCTAAACAAACAACACAACTGAAAGAGCCAGGCGGGTGCCCACCTGTTATAATAAACACAAAAGAGAGTGTCAACAACATCTCAGCAGTCATGACACGTCACGTGAACAGGTCTCTGTTTTTAGAGAAGACGAGAAAGATAAAGAACAAGAGAAGAGAAGAGAGGAAACCGAGGAGAAAGTCACTTAGCTGCACCATCGAAGTGGATCAACATGCTACCATTAGCAGCAGCCTCATCTCTGGGGATGTTCGTCACCCAGGAGAGTTTGAGGTAGACATGAAGACTGCCTCCGCGTCTTTGTGGGTAGAGAAGCATTGTTGTGTGCCATCAACAACAACGCAGAGGGTGCACGGGTAGAGGAGAAAGTACTTCAAGTTGAGTTCACGGAGCTTGCGTTTGACTGGATCGAAGCTCCGGCGTCTTCTGGTAAGCTCGGGACTGAAATCGGGATAAATGCTGATGTCCACATGACAGCTCATTGTTACTTTGTAATTCTACTCCACTACAATTCAGAGGTTAACCTGGTATTTGTACTCCACTACACTTATTTGAGTTACTTTGCAGATTCTGATTAATGATGTGAAATATAAACAACCCTTAAATCAGACTTTAGTTACACCTGAGTAAAATTCAGGGAAAGGTGATTGTCAAGTGCCAACAATCAGGAGAGATATTTGATAGTTGGTGCTTGAGAAGACTAAACATGTATCTACAATTGACATGAATGGAAACGAGTAATAAAGCATATTCATTACTCGTTATTCTCTACTAATAGTTAATTAAAGACTGTATATTATGGCTATTTTGCACATCCCTTTCAAGATTTTCAAAGGTTTATTGACATATCATATACACAACTACGGTGTATAAAATGAATGACAATCTTTGGTCACAGGTTCCTCAACAGCGCATTAAAAGACATCTATCAATATGTGTGTATACCTCCACCATTAAACTGTCATATTCTGCACATTTCTTATTCTATCTACATACATACGAGTATAATTCATATGTATAATATCAGTTAAAATAAGTGCTTCAACATAGTTAACATTGCAGGAAAGCAATATATTAGACGTTAAGTACTTTGTCAGGCTTAATATTTATCTGTAGATAGATACCCCCAAAGTGTTTTTCTTATTTAAAAGAAGACCTTAATCTGTTATTTAATGTTTAAATAAAGGTTAATTCGTTTTTCTGTTTTGCACCTCCTCCTATTAATATCTTTGTACATTCTGCACTAAACTGTTTTATTGTAGAGATCACTTATAGTATCTTCTTGATTTTTTATATTCTATATTTCTATCACAGACCTTCTACTTTCCCCTTATGAAAGTATGTACTCTTAATATGTTTTTAATCAAATATAACACATAAAAACAATAATTCAATAACGTGCTTTAACCACTAGGCGGTGCACACAAGGTACACACAGCCATAATAACTTTGTATTGTTAGTGTAGGACACTTATGTATGTACAACATCTGAAGATGTGTAGTTTTATTCATGCTTTCACATAATTTTACAGCATATTGCTATACTATTTCAGACTCAGTATTTACATTTCTTATATTCAAAGAAAATCAGTAATGTCTTTAAAAACTACAAGTCCTTTTATATCAGCTGTGCACCGTTATGGTGTAAATATAACCTATCTATGAATTAGATCAAATGTAAAAGTCAGCAGAATTAGTGTTGATACTGCAAGGAGACGTATTGTGTGAAGAGAAATTGAAGATGTTGTTTAATTGTTGATATATTTATGATCCACGTCAAGTATTCAGTTTCGGCGGCATTTCTTCCAGTTTTTCCAAAAGTCTTCTCATCAGGGCTCTATAAATAAAGAACTACGGCAGATCTGTAATATGTAATGCAGCCGAACCGTGTATTACAATGCCGTTATGTGATAACTTTCAAAGAGAAAAGCAAGAACACTCGGAATTAAGTATTATTTTATTCTTTTAAAATGTTTTCCGGATTTCATATCATATAAACCCCAAATCCCAGCATGCATTGCGGCTAAAACATCCAATCAGCGAGCTTAAATCATAGCTGAGGATCTTGGGTAATCGCTCGAAATGCCTACGTCTGTTTCCGGTTATTTTTATTTTGAAATTCAGTTCCTGACGGACGCCAAAAAAGCCCGAGATTATGGAATTAAACAATAAATAAAAGCAAGGATAATTGTGTGTTATTGGTGAGTAAATAACAGTGTGTTATTTAGAAAAGAATAACAAATTAGAAGGAAAAAAAGATTTAAAAAATACAGATTTCAGTATTCTGAGGCTCTGAGCCCCATTTATTTTCCTCACAGACGGAAACAAAAGTCCGAAATTATACGATTTAAAATAAAAGCAATAATTGTGGCTTGATATTGAGTAAGAACATGTTTTTATGAACCACACAGCTTCCGGTCTTCCAAGACCCGACCGGAGAAAAATACGTGCTGCAGGCACGAAACACATTACCAGTAGAAATACATTGCTTTTAAAATCGTGCTGTGCAACACGAAAAAAAGGGGAGAATCGTGTTGGTGAACACGAATCAATTCATTAAAAATTGTGTTGGTGAACACGAAATGCCGTGAGACTGGGTTGTACATCTTCTATTGGCTACCGCTCCAACACACTCCAGGAACATCTCTAAGCGGTTGACCAATCACAACAGAGCTGGCCAGCTAACTAATCAGAGCAGACTGAGCTCTGGTTTCCGACAGAGGGTGAAAAGAGGTGCTGCAGCATTAAAGCATGGAAACATGTCACGGAAGAAGCAACACATACAAATGTTAACCTGAAAATGAGCATAATTTGTCCTCTTTAATGGGAAAAAAACATATTGAAGAACAAAAACTCACTTTTGTAATCGATCCCCCCCCAGCCATGTGTTCCTGGGTACTTTCTCAGACGCTGGTAGCTTTCCTGAGTGACGTGTTGGGCCCACTGCACGACTGGAATGTCGTTCAGAAACCGTCGACCAAATTCTGTTTTGGCGGCCAGTCTTTGGATACTATCTGTGCATTCCTGAGGGAAACAGGTACAGCCTGGTTGTTAACATTATCACACATTTTATCTGCTCCTCTATTTCGGATACCAAACATGTTTTTTTTTTTTTAGGGCGTTAATAACGCGTTAACGCAAAAAAAAATTAACGCCACTAATTATTTTAATGCATGTGTATTTTTTTTCCTCGGCCGCCCCGTAGTTTCAGAGCGCATCGAGTTTAAAATGCCATCTACAACAGGGTTGGGCAAATGGGGACCCACGGGCCGCATGCGGTCCCCACCTCCTCTTTTTGCGGCCCTCAGATTAATTTATAAACAACGTAATTAATTTTTTTTAAATATATATTTTTTTTTTTTACTTGTAGTACTGATACCGTCCACTAGACTCCTAGTTACGTCGCGAGCTGCGTAGATGATTTCAAATACCGCAAAATAATCTGTGACGCATTTGTGTGTATTGTGTTTGTTTCCCGGGGAAACCCTCACAAGAAACACCGGCTGTTGTTATGCCTGCTGTGACGTTAAGTTGCCTCTTGTAATTATGCCTTTACAAGCTTAAAAGTTATTTTTATCATCTGAATTTGGCGAAACAAGTTTAATATTCTTAAAACCAAGACTTTGTTTATTTGAAATCAGATGAAAACAAACTGTCACGGACCCTGCCGTGTTATCTATGATTACTACGCTTTTCATTCAGAATTTCAGCGGGAGGGAGGGGGAGTGGTGCTGAGGAACAGCAGAGTGCGGGCTGACAGGTGTCTGTGTTGACATTCCCCTTATTGTGGAATAAGGGGAATACAAAGACAGGCTACAAGTGTTTTAGGTTCAAGTTAGACAACTAATGTCTGGGTTAGTGTTCATGACTTAATGTGTATGTCATCTAATGGTTAATCTCAATACACACACATTTTCTGTGCTTTCCAATAGTTTAAAATAGTTTTATTCCACTGTTTAATAACCTGTTCAATACAAACATGCCACTTGTAAAAATGAAATAACATTTCTGTGAACTGATATTTGTTTAGTGAGCTTATTAGAGGATGTTCCCATTTTTGGGGATGTTCCCTTTGATTGTAAAATGTCAATGAAGATGTCAGACTTAGTATATTTGTTAATAATTACATACAACACATGGAATTTTTGTGTGTGTGAGTTCCAAGTGAATCTGCGGCCCCCTGGTGGCCAGTACATCAATGATGTGGCCCCCACCACCATCAAAGTTGCCCATCCCTGATCTACAAGCTGATGCTGACAGCCCCGCTCCTGCCGCCCGCTTGTGGCAGACCACACTTCCACGCTCACCGGCAGGCACCGACTGGCCATCTGGAGGACCGGGAGGGTGTGTGTATGTGTGGCTCGAGCGAGCGAGAGAGAGACCTTACGTGCATTGTTGTTGTTAGCATCTGGTGCTAGCTAGCTGCGCTAACGGATATAAGGAGCTGTTTAAATGAAAACAGAGGAGCGACATTTCGCCGTCAACTGCGCCGAGCACTTAACTTTATGCAGGAAGCCAGACAGTGGGACATTGTACGAAAAGTCAGCACACTCAGCACGGATAGTGCGCAACATGATTGCAGCGTCCAGGCAGCTCCCGTTCGAGCATATGCCTTGAGTTGCACATAGCTCCAACGATCCATCACACACACACACACACACACACACACACACACACACACACACACACACACACACACACACACACACACACACACACACACACACACACACACACACACACACACACACACCCACACACACACACACACACACACACACACACACACACACACACACACACACACACACACACACACACACACACACACACACACACACACACACACACACACACACACACACACACACACACACACACACACACACACACACACACACACACACACACACACACACACACACACACACACACACAGTATTATTGTATGAGAGAGGTTCCAGGTTGAATTGAGGCGAATATTTGTATAGTTCAGAGGTTGTTGTGTTTAATATTCATGATAATAAACATTAGCATAAAGCATATTTGTCCACTCATATGTTGATAAGAGTATTAAAAACTTAAAAAATATTCCTCTAAGGTACATGTAGAACAGATCAAAAATGTGCGATTAATTTGCGATTAATCGCGATTAAATATTTTAATCGACTGACAGCCCTAGTTTTTTTACAAGATACTTGCAGGTGAAGGGAATATTCCGTGGCACTTCAAAACTTATTTGGAAGCCTAATCACAGGTTAATTATTACGTAATTTGTCAATCGTTACATCTTTATCACCCTAAATGTTATCACTGAAAGAAGTCAGATTTAAATAAACAAATACGGAATAGCTTTTCACACCAACTCACAGTTTTTGTCAAAAAATGCTACCAAAATATTTACTATAATATCTAAATATCTACTCTCACTCTACTGGGAGCAATGATTTAGGAAAAACACAGCTGCCAAAGAACAGCGCTAACCACAAGAGCTTTTATCCACAGACATATTCATTAGGACACTGACAAGGGCATTACAGTGCAATACATATAACACCACATGCACACAGACAAGGTAGCATGAAAAGGTTACAAACCTCAATGAATGTATGCATCTAGGTAATTGTGTTATACGCCACTGCTTCTCTATGGAATAACAATTCAGCCTGTGTGTAAAATATGTAAAATATTGGGATGGTGCGTTTTCTTGCAGAACACTAAGATCACTCCCAATATTTTGAGGCAGATTTGAGTTGTCATATCTATCTTGCGTACAAAAATATGCTAGGAAGAAAAAGCAGAGCTCAGCTTCAGGCGACAACGTTTGATTTGTTATGAAGGATTTACTAGAACAACAGACAACTGTGGCACCCATCCGATAACAACATATCCAGCACAATGAAAGCATGTGTTACTAAAGCACTATGATCCACAGATATAAATACATTATTAATCTACAATAATTTGAAGGTGTTTATTCACACATAAACATTCACAGGGTTTTTTAGAGGTCTTATAGGTCATACCAGCACATTTAGAACTTACCGTTTGTGGTGGGAAGACTTCACTCATGTAGGTGTCTCCGATGAAGGAGGGCTCTGTGGGTCTGTGGGCCTTTGTGGGCTGTTGCTGGGGCAGTAGGGGGGCTTTGTTGATGGTCCTGGGTTTACCCACGCCATCAGACCTAGAACTGGATTCTGGGACATTTGGGACATCTGGGACATTGGGAACAACGCTGTTCTCTTCTGGTTTGGATTCAACAGGGAGCTCTCGGTCTAAGGTGGAGATAGGGGTCGACTGGTCGTTGATGCCCTCTTGGTCAAGAAGCTCCCCAAAGTCTAGTAAGTTGCTGTGGAGGACAGAACAGGATTTGGCAGTGAGTCGCAGCAGGAAGCAAATCAGTTGATCCCTCTCACTCTCTCAACATGATCCCATAAGGTTCACTCTTGAAAAAACAGTTCAACTTTGTCGGAATCATGCTTATTTGTGTTCTTGATGAGTGTAATATGCGATTGATACCACTCTACTTTGAAGTTAGAGCCAGCCGCTAGTTAGCTTAGCATAAAGACTGGAATAGCCTACTATGAAACAGATGGCTGGCTATTTCAAAAGGTAATCTAGAAAGCTCATTAATCAGCATGTCATATCTTATTGTTTCTATAAAACACACAAAAAGAGAGTTTTGAGATGCTGGAGGACATTAACCTCAAGCAGGTTAGCCACATTACTCCATGTTTCCAGGCTATATGCTAAGCTAACTAGCTTCTCACTCCAGATTCATATTCAACGGCCAGATATAGTATGTGGTATCCATGTCCCTCTAGGCAAGAAAACCAAGAAAGCCTATTTGAGCATCATTGTTAAACACAAGAACAAAAACATAAATAACAAGAGCAAAACCACATTTATTTAACGCTTGACAACAGTTGACAGGACGTGTCTGTGGCGCCAACACATTTTCTACACTTTTATGCATAGCATGGAAAACATGTCACCATAATGAAGCAGGGTGGAGGCTGCATTTGTGTGACTATTCTCAATTAACTTGAAGTTTTCTTCAAGCATTTTTCCAGAGCTGTTAAACTAAATGTTTCTGTTTGTCAGTGGCAAGGAGAAAGCTTAGTTGCCATCACATATGAGACTTGTGTATGAGGAAAGGAGTAAAGGAAAAGAAAAAGAAGGGGCTTAAAGGTGCAAAAAAAAAGCTAGTAGGTGAACTTTGAGTTACAGTATATGGTTGAAAGTTAGACTCCACTGTCAAAATCTGCTAAAAACACAGTGCTAATAAAACTAATAAATCCTTTAATTCAAGACAGACCATCCAGATTTTGCTTATCTTTACCCTGGTTCTAAAGCTGTAATTGAAGTGACACACCACATGCTGCGGATGTCACGCCGAGCAGTAAGTATACCTCATAGAGCCGGGGAATGAGATACGGACACTGCATTTAAAGTGTAACTAGAACACAATTACTTAATGTTAAACAAGTATCAGAGGTTAACTACAGAGTGGGCAGGATGTCATTCAGGACGCAGCTTGTTTGTCATTTATATTTCACCTGTAATACGTTTGTAAATATAGCGTAAAAGAGAAAGTAATGATTTTTTTAAAATTATTTTGATAGATAATTTTAATAAAAAACACTATTAAAAAATATATAATAATAATAATGACATGGCTTGAGTTTAATTCCTCCTATTATTTGTATACAATGTATAAAATATAAGTTAAATATTTTTGAGGGATGCAGCGTAAAGAAGAAATAAATAGTGATTTTATTTTTCCTTATTTTACATTTTATTATTTTGAGAGATAATTGTGAAAAGAAAATGGCTTTTCTTTAAATATTTAAGAAAAATAATAATAAAAACATAGCTTAAGTTTATTTACTTGATTTATTTATTTTCATTTAAAAATATATATTTTATCTTTAAATGCAACAGGGACCCACAGTCCAGTAAAATAAAATTGAGGTGTAGTATATCGAAAAAGCCCCGGAGCAGGGGAAGTGAGGAGGACACTCATAACCTTATTTTTACCCAGGCATTCAAATGAAAGAACAGCTTTCTAAATGAAAGACCTGTGAGCTCTGCATGCCCAAACTTAGCATTTAGTTTCTGTAAGAGACCTTTTAGAAACAGCCATGTCTCTCCCCTGAGTTCATGTATTTTATCTGGACCTGCTGGCTTTTAAACCTGGAGCGCTGCCCATTATAACAACGCATACATTTCACATACGAGTGCTGTGTGGCTCCTTTGTTAAAACCACAATGATACAACTAGAGGGGGGAATAAGTGCTGGTTACAGAAAAACCATGGAACCTTTTATACCACGATCTAAAGGTTTAACCCTTCAACCTCGTCCCTTTTCTCAGCTCAATGTTGATTAAACTGCCACATCTCCTCATGTGTCTCTGATTTAGAAACAACATATGGAACCTAAACGCAGTGAGATGGTTCTATAATTTCCTCCCCTTATACCTTGCCCTAATACCTTTACCCATTAGATTTAGGATAAATAATAACTAGCTTTTTTCTAATCAAAATGGGGATCTACAATTACAAATCATTTAGGGTTCATTATCAATTTTCTTTTTTTCTTAAAATGCAATTCAGATAAATAAAATATCCTCCCCGAGTGTTTCCCTCCTTTATGCCTGCCGAAATTGTGATGAACATAAACTAATAACTTTCACACAAAATATATACGCCTCGCCTTCGCCTCAGCAAGAAGGGCTGTCTGGTGAGACATCTCACTTCATGTTACTCTGAGAACTGGGGTTACACTAGTAACCAATAGTTCTCATTCATAACACTTCATTCGATGTCTCACTATGGGATATTGACACTCCCCTATTGCTAGACATGCTTATCTCAAAAATCAGTACTCAACAGGTAGAACTCTGTCCCAACACGGGGCCCAGCACTGCATGGGCCACACTTGGAGCAGAGACGTCCAATCTGTAAAAACGGACAAAAGTGAGCGGTGAAGACCAGCTCGCTGCTGCACAAATGTCCTGGATGGAAACACCCTTAAACAAAGCCCAGTATGTAGCCAGTCCACGAGTAGAATGAGCACGCAGGCCCGTTGGTGCCTGCAAACCCTGACTCGTATAAGCCAGAGCTATCGCTTCCACAATCCAGTGGGAGAGTCGTTGCCTGGTAACGGGATTGCCCTTATGAGGGTCAGCCCAGGACACAAAGAGTTGGTCATTGCATCGAAACTCTTTAGACCTGTCCATATAGATGTGCAAGGCACGAACTGGACACAGCAAATTCAGCCACTGTTCTTCAGAAGAACATAACGGTGAAGAAAATTCCGCAAGGTCAATGGGGGTGCATGAGCCAACCACCTTGGGCACAAAAGCAGGGTTAGGCTTCAGCAACACTCTTGCTTGCCCCGGGGCAAACTAAGTGCATGAAGGATGTACAGAGAGCGCATGAATGTCACTGACTCGCTTGGCAGATGCCAGAGCCAGCAACAACACTGTCTTCAGTGACAGGTGTTTCATGTCAAGTTCTTCCAGGGGTTCAAATGGAGGTCGAGTGAGCCCATCTAAAACCACTAAGGGCACCATTGACCTGGAAACAGGGAGGAGCCTGCGAGCCCCTTTCATAAAACGGCAGACCAAGGGATGTTGGCTAGCCGTCTTTCCCTCAAAGCCCACATGGCATGCAGCAATAGCAGCCAGGTACACTTTGATCGTAGAGAAAGCTCTGTGTTTATCAATCAAGTCCTGCTGAAATGACAAAATCACACTGACAGGACATTGAAAAGAGACGTGTCCCTTTTGGAGGCACCACTCCTCAAACACCCTCCACTTACAGTCATAAAGAGACCTGGTGGAGGAAGCCCTTGCACTCTGAATAGTGTTTATCACCTTCTGAGGAAGCCCCACTGTACTCAAATTATACCACTCACGGGCCAGGCCCATAGTGCCAAGCAGGGACGGACTGGCCATCTGTTGAATCTGGAGAACCACAGAACGGCCGGTCGGCCCTTTAAAAAAAATGTTTAACGTCATCATTTAAGTTGCGCTGACGGCCGACTGATGCAGTTCTGTGGTTCTTATCTGTCAAATAATCACACACGAAGAAGAAAAAAGACCGGCCACACGAAGAGAAGGGATTAGACGCCGCGGCAGACAGGGAGAATGAAAAAACATGGATAAAAATCAAAGAAAACAAAAATAAAAAGGTGGGGCCGAGAAGGCAAGAGAAAAAAAGGTGAAGTCACTCGCAGGTGAAGCATATAAATGTCGCAAATTGACAGACCTTTTTGGCAGCAGCGCTGCGACAAGCACTATCATCAGCAGCTTAGAACAAGTGCAAGATGATGAAGAGAATGATGAGGGCGCGAGTTCAGATATGCAGCCAGCCTCCTGCGTTCATGATGAGGGACAGAGTTGAGCTGCTGGAAGAACCATCTCAACTGGCACATACAAGTGCAGGGCAAGAGCAAGAGGGGGGTGAGAATTATCCCTTGAACTCAGTGGCGTTTTCTCCTGGAGGCCAAGGGATGCCAGGCTTCCCCTGTTTTTTTGGATTGTAGTTATAATTTTAATAAATAAATAAAAACACTTCGTTTAGTTTCGGTAATTATTCTGCCGGCCCATCTCTCCCCTATTCTCATTGAGTATTTTACAAAGAGTGAAACAGCGCCCCTCTAGATGTTACGGTGAAACAGTAGATGGCACTCTCTGTTGCGAGAGGAGGCCAGCCGAAATTGGCTTCCCTTGGTGAAAAAAATTGAGGGATTGACCAATCAGATGAGGCTCACGTCATGCCTCACAATCCAATCAAATCGCATCAACTTCAGTTCGTACTGTAACTGTCATCACCGCCCTTAAAAAGTAGCAATCAACTGAAGCAAGTGCAATTATGGAGGGTGGAGATTTGGAGTATTTCATCAAAAATAAAAATGGAATCTGATGACAGGCCAATGCCCAAACTGGAGCTGTGTACAGAGAGGAAAAAAGGAGCGAATCGGACGTAAAACTTTAAGTAATAAACAGCGGATTTCTAACATTTGACATTTCATGTGGCCGGGCTGGGTCAGTTTCCAGGGCTGAATTTTAGTCCCAGCCCCTTCCCCCTGGACATAGTTTCTACAGCATAAACCGTGCAACAGTACAGTAGGCCCACACAAACTGCAGAACACCGGGGCTTTGGGAACACTCAAAATTACTTTAAATGATTTATTTCCCATTTAACCTGTTAAGGGGCTTTTCCCCCCCGTTTTCTTTCTCACAAAACTGTGTCTCAGGGCTTCTTAAAATGTAATAAACTATTAATGTGTCCTACTAATTTAACGGGAAGAAACGCAGCTAACTGATGATATGAACCATG